AGAGAGAGAGAGAGAGAGAGAGAGAGAGAGAGAGAGAGAGAGAGAGAGAGAGGTTTCTCTCTCTCTCTCAATCTCTCTCCTCCTGTCCCAACCTTGATTTTTCATGTGCACCAGTCTATTACAATATTATCAAGTGAATATCACTCATACTAGAATTAGGATTGGGGGGGTGGGGTTGGCTTATTAGGACTTTGGATATTTTGAGAAGATACCGTGATTCAGTCAGCTGAAGTAGCCTGCAGTGCCGCATTTAAGCACAAAATGAATGTTTCGGTGCCAGATATACAAATTATACAAGCCATAGTCCAAAATGAGTCTTTATCTTGCACACAGGTGGGGACTGAGAGGGAAATCCATTTAGACTGTCACTGGGTGAATTCAAACATCCACAATTTTAGTTATTATTCGCTGAAAAAAAGCCGCCATCACTTAAGCCCCAAACCATAGTTAAATAATGATTGAGACCATACAATAAGTGAAACAGAGTAATAATAAATCATACAATAAGTTAACCATAATACTAATAATAAAAAAAACTCAAGTTATGGTTTAATATATGTGAATCTAACCAATTCACGGAACCTAGAACAAAAGCTGATATATCTGTTTGCCCTCGTGCTACTATGCTCTATTTTTTACTGTTATCAATTTCCTTCATCCTGAACTCTATTCTTTACTCTTCCTGAAACAGATATAAAATTCAGAGGAAGAATGTTATTCTCATTATAGCGTCCCAGCTTATCACTCCCTTAAAAAGCAAATTAATGGCAAAACGACAATTCCAGGTGACTTAAAGAAGAATGCCTCTCTCCCACGAACCTTCCAAGTTCTTCCATCACATTAATATCTTAGCTTAAAAAAAGCTGCAGGATGCTTGTAATATCTAGATAAGGAATCTTTGGGGCAGAGCATAGCCATTCTTTCACTCATCCATATGCATAAATAAGTTGCTAATATGAGACAACTGATGAGCAGAATGGGCGAACTTGATACTGTCAAACTGCTCATCATATTTCCAGTCACATGGCTGCAATATCAGTGATGAGAAGGGCATCTAGCTACCTTATTTATTCAGTCATAAAGCTGCTTTTTTATACAATAAAAGAGATCAGACATCCCAGCCAGTCCATTCCCACTTGCTCCATTGCCCCCTCTTATCACACATGAACTTATTTCTTCCCGTTTTTCGTAGATCGAGAGGAGCCCTGGTAACGCAGTGGTTAGAAGGCGGTTATTGCAGGCTAATTCTGCCGACTGCCAGCAGTTCAATCCTGGCCAACTCAAGGTTGTCTCAGACTTCCATCCTTCCAAGGTCGGTAAAATGAGGACCTAGAGTGTTGATTTCGTATGCTGACACTGTAAACCACTTAGAAAGTGTTGTAAAAGCGGTATATAAGTCTTAAGATATTACTATTGCTAGATCTGCCAGCTGACAGTAAGTTCTCTCCTTCTTCAGAGGGCACATGGGGAAAGAGAGGAGAAACAGCTCACACATCAGCTACAGAGCCCTACTATTCCTAAACAGCCTCCCTGAACATCGTTATTTTAATGGGCAAGCACCTGCAATTAAAGGGAAGGAAAGTGAAAAATTAAAACCAATATAATCCCGTGACCCGACAAATGCGCGCCCGATAAATGCGCGCCGACAAAACCGTGACATCGAAAGGGCGCCCACTAAAGCGTGCCGACAAAACCGCGCCCACAAAAGCGCGATTAGGGTTTTTAGGTTAGGGTTAGGGTTAGGGTCAGGGTTATTAACGTTGTTAACGTTGTTTTCGCGTTGCTTTCGTGTTGTTTGCTGATGGCGCGCTTTTGTCAACGCGCTTTAGTGGGTGCGCTTTCGACGTCACGGTTTTGTCGCCGCGTTTTTTGTCGGCACGCACCTGTTCGGGCGCGCATTTGTCAGTGAACCATATAATCCAATATTATCTAAATTAGTAATGCTTAGAAACAAATCACATTGATTAAAATGGTGTACCTTTTCCTTTTTCCAGTGCCACTGGTAGTGGGTGATAATTATGTGCACCATATTTAGCTTCACGTTCAAATATGTAGTCTGAGGACGGTGGGCCTTGGACTGTTTTCTTGGTTGCAACCGACGTAGCCGAACTTGCTGAAGTACGGAGACCCCGACGCAGAACAGTCAAGCGTTGTGGATGGGCCAGTTTGGAAAGCATGATTATAGTACAGTTGCAATCTGAAACCAAAGGAAAAGGGTAAGAAATCTGTAGATTCACTTAACATTAAATCCCCCGAAATAATAGTCAATGGATTCAGGAGTTTGAACAGTTTATTAACATTTTTGAAGCGTTTTAATATCGTTCAAGCAATGTAAATCTGAACGAAACGGTTAAAACTTTTCCAAAACAGTGGGCAAATTTCTAAAGCAGCTTTTCCCAGGCTCCCACCCTCCAAATATTTTGGAATGAATCAGTGGTGGGTTTCAAAAAAATTTCAAACCTATTCTGTGGGTGTGGCCTTCTTTGTGGGAGTGGCTTGCTGGCCATGTGACCTGGTGGGAGTGGTTTGCCGGCCATGTGTTTTCTCTCTCTCTCTCTCTCTCTCTCTCTCTTTTTCCTTCCTTTTGTCTCTCTGTCCCTTTTTCCTTTTTTTTCTTTCATCTCTCTCTCACTTTTTCTTTCTTTTTTCTTTATTTATTTCTTCCTTTCTCTTTCTCTCTCTGTGTGAGTGTGAGTATGAGTGTGTGTGTGTGTGTGTCTGTGTGTGTCTGTGTCTGTGTGTGTCTGTGTGTGTCAGTAGTGTGTTTCAAAAAATTTTGGAACCTCTTCTGTAGGTGTGGCCTGCTTTCCGAGTTCACTGGTGGAACCTCTTCTA